GCTTAGTCATGGACGTTGCTCGCACCTCCATGATCCATACAGCTGCTCCCCATTTTCTGTGGCCATTTGCGGTCCGATACGCCGCCCATCAGCTCAACCTCTGGCCCCGTGTCTCTGTGCCAAAGACCTCGCCTACACTGTGTTGGACGGGGGAGGTTGACGATGCGTCGACGTTTCGGGTCTGGGGCGCGCTCTCCCTTGTTCGCGATACCACCGCGAGCAAGCTCTCCCCTCGCACTCTCCGCTGCGTCTTCCTTGGCTTCCCCAACGACGCCCCGCCCTGGCAGTTTTACCACCCTGTCTCGCGCCGGGTCCTATCTTCACATGACGTCACCTTTGACGAGTCGGTCTGCTTCTACCGTCTCCACCCGCACACGTCTTCCCCGCTCTCCCCGCCGCCCCTCTTCCTAGTCCCAGGTCTCCTGTAGACCCCCTCCCCCCGCAGGGTCCTGCTCCCTCAGGCGTGTCTCAGATCGACCCACCCCCCTTGGTTGAGCCTTTGGAGGTCTCCTCTGACTCCTCTAGCTCAGCTGAGGGGGGTGACCCCGCGGCTGACGACACGGCGACGACTCGCCGCTCCCCGCGCTTGGAGACCCCTCCTGGTTTTCCGCCTCAGCTGTCTTCGCCGCCTCCGCAGCTTGTCGCTGTGGGCTCTGGTGGTTCTGGGGGTGCTGAGTTCGGGGATGCCGGTTCTGGGGGTGCTGAGTTCGGGGATGCTGGTTCTGGGGGTGCTGAGTCTGGGGGTGCTGAGTCTAGGGGTGCCGGTTCTGGGGGTGCTGGTTTTGGGGGTGCTAGAGCTGCCGGTGCTGGAGGTGCTGGAGCTGGAGGCACTGCTAGTGCTGGAGGTGCTGGAGCTGGAGGTGCTGCTGGTGCTGGAGGTGTTGGTGCTGCTGGTGCTGGAGGTGCTGGAGCTGCTGGAGCTGGAGGTGCTGCTGGTGCTGGAGGTGCTGGAGGTGCTGGAGCTGGAGGTGCTGGAGCTGCTAGTGCTGGAGGTGCTGGAGCTGCTGGAGCTGGAGGTGCTGTTGGTGCTAGAGGTACTGGAGCTGCTGGTGCTGGAGGTGCTCAAGCTGCTGGAGCTAGAGGTGCTGCTAGTGCTGGAGGTGCTGCTGGTGCTGGAGGTGCTGGAGCTGCTGGTGCTAGAGGTGCTGGAGCTGCTGGTGCTGGTGGTGCTGGAGCTGGAGGTGCTGCTGGTGCTGGAGCTGCTCGTACTGGAGCTGCTGGTGCTGGAGGGGCTGGAGCTGGAGGTGCTGGAGCTACTGGAGCTGGAGGTGCTGCTGGTGCTGGAGCTACTGGTACTGGAGGTGCTAGAGGTGCTGGAGCTGGAGGTGCTGGAGCTACTGACGGTACGGGTACTGTGCCGCGCCGACCATCTTTCTACCCGCAGCCACAGTCGTCCCTGCCACCGCCTGACTCGGCCCTTCGCCATGTTCTTAGTCTCCCGTCGTCCACTGGCCTCACTCCACCTCTCCTGTGTTCACCGCCAGACCAGTCTCAGCCACAGCTACTGCCTGACTCCCCGCTGTCTGCTCCCGCTCCTCACACTGAGGTGACTGAGTCCCTGACTGGGCGTCGTGAGCCTAAGACTCGTGCTTCCACACCTGTTCGTGCTCGTCGTGTCGCCCGTCATCGTCCTACTGTTGTCCCACGCACTCACGTTATGGAACTTCGTCCTTCCTCTGTTCCACAGCGTGTTGCCCTCTCGTCTCCTCTGGCGTCCTCTCTTCCTGACGTTCCTGACCCTGAGTCTGACCTTGCTCGTGTTGCCAGTCCCACTGTCACTCGTCTCCTCGCTACTGTCGTCACTGACCCTGACTTTGAGTCTACTGCTGTGTTTGCCCTAGTCACAGAGCTAGTCGACTTTGCTGCTAGGAGTCGTCTCGTCTACGTCGTGAGTCTTGTTACTGAGTCTGAGTCTGTCTGTCCTCCGTCTGTTGGGGGTGAGCTTGCCCTTGGCTGTGACGTCCTTGAGGACAGGCAGTTTGAGCTTGAGTGTCTCGCGGCCGCTTTACCTCGTTTCGCGTCCATGCTGCTTTGCCATGAGGGAGACCTGGATGCACTTGACATCCCCACCCCGCGCTCTTACGGAGAGGCGATCACTGGTGAGTACTCCTCTCAGTGGCAGACAGCCATGGATGCAGAGATGGCTTCATGGAAGTCCACAGGCACCTACGTCGACGAGGTTCCCCCTCCTGGGGCGAACATAGTCGATGGCATGTGGATTTTCAGAGTGAAGCGGCCGTCCGGTTCTCCGCCTGCCTTCAAGGCGCGTTACGTTGCTCGAGGCTTCAATCAGCAACAGGGGGTCGACTTCTTCCAGACCTTCTCCCCCACCCCGAAGATGACTACTCTTCGGGAGTTGCTGCACGTTGCAGCACAGCGTGACTACGAGCTGCACTCCCTCGACTTCTCCACAGCTTTCTTGCAGGGCAGACTTCACGAGGAGATCTGGCTACGCCGTCCACCTGGCTTCACTGGGTCGTTTCCGGAGGGTACCCAGTGGAGCCTCCGACGGCCAGTCCGGTCTCCGCCAGGCGCCCCGCGAGTGGCACGACACTCTGAGGACGACACTTGCGGCTCTTGGGTTTGCTCCTTCCACTGCTGACCTGTCGCTGTTTCTGCGCACCGACCCTACCCTGCCGTTGGTCTACATCATCGTGTGCGTCGACGACTTGGTCTTTGCTACTGCTGACACTGAGGCGCTGACCTTTATGAAGGCGGAACTGCAGAAGAGACACACTTGCACTGACCTGGGTGAGCTGCGTAGCTATCTTGGCTTGCAGATCACCCGGGACAGAGCACGGTGCAGCATCACCCTGACTCAGTCACACATGGTGCACCAGGTCCTTCAGCGCTTCCGCTTTCGGTTCTCCTCGCCACAGCCGACTCCTCTGGCTACCGGCCACTCGCTCTGAGCTCTACCTTCGGACGAGTCCGTAGAGCCGAGTGGCCCGTATCCAGAGCTTGTCGGCTGCCTCATGTACCTGATGACGTGCACACGACCTGACCTCGCGTACCCTCTCAGCATCCTTGCTCGCTTCGTCGCCCTCGGGCGACACAGGAAGGAGCACTGCACAGCTGCGCAGAGGGTACTGCGTTACTTGTGCAGTACATCGGGCATGGGGCTTGTGCTTGGAGGACGGGGTTTAGTGATACTCACTGGACACTCCGACGCTGCTTGGGCTGACGACCAGGCGACTCAGCGGCCGTCCCAGGGTTACTCTTTCAGTCTCGGCTCCGGTTCTGCCTCGTGGAGGTCCATTCGTTCGTCTTCTGTGCTTGGTTCCAGCTGTGAGGCTGAGATCTACGCTGGGGCCATGGCTGCACAGGAGTTACGCTGGCTGACCTACCTGCTGACCGACTTGGGTGAGCGGCCTCGTTCTCCTCCAGTCCTGTACGTTCAAACAAGGCTATGATTGCCTTGTGTCAGGAGCAAAGACTGGAGCACAGAACAAAGCACATTGCTCTTCGTTACTTTCTTGCTCGGGAGCTGCAGCAGCGTGGTCAGCTGCGCCTTGCTTACGTGGCCTCTCGGGCCAGCACTGCTGATGTCTTCACCAAGGCCCTTGGGTCTAGTGATCATCAGCGTTTCTGCACTGCTCTAGGCCTTGTGCCTACTTTGTCTCATCTGCTGGTTGCTTGACTTGTCTTGTACTGTGATCTCTATATATATATACCTGCATGCTTGTTCTTGCTAGGTTGTGATCAGGGCCCAAAATAGGTTTTGGGCCACTCTTGGTAATCAGGGTATTAGGCTCCCAGTACCCTAACCCCTAGGGTATTTTTTTCCGTACCCTGATGGCAGCAGGGTAAAACTTCTCATACACTGATTCTATCAGGGTATTATTGTTGATACCCTGATTCTAAAGCAAAAAATCCAAGACATGCATTTCTGGAACGACCAGTCCACATACTTAAACAATAGATTCGTTGGCGCAATTGTGTTGGCGTTGGCGTTGGCACGATTGTGTTGGCGCAATAGTCGACATACATGAGTTTGCGCAATTGTGGCTCATTGGACCAATAGGACGAGCAGGCGTGCCTCCGACAAAATTTGACGGTGGTGCGCCTGTGGTCAGTAAATACAAGTGTGGCAGTGGGCTTGTGGTGAGTTCTGTCGTCACGTGGTGTTTGGCTCGATTCGCGATAAAAATATATTAGGTATCAGGGTAGGTGGAATTGTACCCTGATCCAGCCAGGGTAAAAAAAAATCGTACCAGTGTAGTTCAAAGCAAAGACTTTTCACGCCAGGGTAAAAATTCCCATAGGCTGATTTGGCAAGGGTAACTAGGAAAAAGCGGCCTATGGTCAGGGCAAAAAGGGTAAAATACCCTTGAAAAATAGGCCCTGGTTGTGATCATTGTAGTGCTTGTGCTTTTATAACTCTGCATGTGAACTGGCCTTGTGGCCGCTTGCTTGTGCTCAGAATTCGTGGTGATCTTCAGATCCACCCTGAGTTTTGCTTTGCTTTGTTCTCTTGCTTGACTGGACTTGTGACCGTCCACTGTGTTTGCTATCCCCGACTTTGCCTATGGGGGTGTGTCAAATTGTATTTGTTCTCTGTAGGCTGTAGTAAGGCATACCCTAAAGGGTACAACACTTTAGGGTTAGCTATACAATCATGTACTCCTCTCATTCTAGTCATCCTTACGTTCCTACTTCTGACAACCTTCATGTAACAGGCTCTCGAAAGTACGCGGAGGAATCCATGGCGACCTTGTCATTGTCATTGTCAATTCGTCTGTGCTTTTCTGTCGCATGAAGTTCACGACTTGCGATGATGTTTGCAATTATCTCAGCCATTGGAATACTGTAGTTAACCGCGCTCATACGATGACCCAGTAATGTACATTCTTCTTCTGCAATGTGGGTAGCGCGTTGCCAAGCAACTTAGGTTGTAGAGCAACTTAGAGAGTGTACATTCAGGAATTGTTCCGGAGTACACTTGATGGACACGTGACTGTGTCTAGCGTGAAGGTGAATGAACGTTATGTAAGGACAAATCACATGAACCTGGTGTGCTTCATGTACTCTAATCTCCCCTGTGCATCATATGCTATCACCACCTGCTGCACCTTCCACTCTCCTTTCGCCATGTACCCTGTATCTGCAAGTGCACCCCCCACCTCCTCCTCTCCTTCATCCCCACCCACCTCCACCCCTCCTAACTCCCCATCACCACCACCCTGAACACCTTGTCCTCCACCCCTCACATACGTCACAACCAGCCAAAACTCCTCCCCTTTTCCTCCCCCCTCACGGCTGAGCAAAGGCTCCAAGGGGGAAGGCATGGCCACCACCACGCCCCTGGGCAGAGCCCACACACCATACCTGCTGTGCTGGGCCTTGGGTACTCCTGCTAAATACCCTGAAAACACCTCCATGTTCTGAGTTTCCAGCCCGTTGTTCAGATGCTCAGGAAGAGGTGTAGCATAGAGGTCAGTGTAGATGTAGTGAGGCACTCCATAGAGGGGCTTGGGAGGGAGAGGGGGGAGGGAGGCTGGCAGGTGGGTTGGAAGAGGGGTCTTCCAGTGAGGGCTGGCCCACGTGTCATGCCGGGATTGGCCGGAGGGGCTTGTGTTGCGATCAGCAGCTTGATCGCTGGCGCCACTGCCACCAGTGTGGGACTTGTTGTGACTGTCCGTTGGTAGGACAGTGTCGTCTTGCCTCAGCGACAAGGAAGCTTCCGAGAAGGCCACGTTGAGCTGCGCGCCAGGGCCTGTGAGGAAAAGGCGGTGGAGGAAGAGGAGAGGAGATGAGAGAGAGCGGAGATGATTGGAGCAAGTGGAGGAGATGACTAGCTGCTCACCATTGCATGCACAGTCATGACCTATCGCGCTATAGGGACACTTTTGAGGCGCCTCAAAAGTCCATAACCTCCTATTGTGCTGTGGGTACCCTTGCATCCATCCATCACGCCCCCCATGCGTCCAACACACTCCCCAACCAGCAGCATCCGTGCGTACCGTCCATGAAGCACACGTTGGCTGTGAGTAGCACTGCACGCCGCACCGACTCCCCTCCCGTGCTGCCCTGCCCACGCCCCTTGTCACGCTCACCCTCCTCTCCCCCCTCCTTCCCCTCCTTCCCCTTCTCCCGACCCTCTCCCCCACCCTCCCCCTTGCCCCCCTGCCTGCCTCGCCCCACCTGCAGCTGCGCCATCACCACAGCCCCCTCCTCGCCCCCCCCAGCGCAGAGCACGCGCGCGCCATGGCTGTAGATGCCATAGGGCAGTGCGATGCCGTTGGTGTGGCTGGCGCGCACACAGGAGAAGGGCCACGCTCCCTCCGCCACCTTGGCTGGGAAATCCCCCCGCCGGTTGAACTGCTCGTGCTGTGTGGGGAAGGAGGGAGAGGAGGACAAGAGGGTGTGGGCGAAGGAGAGGGAGTGGGGAGCAAGGCAAGTCGCCTGGCTGCTTTACAGGAAATAGGTGGAGAGCACGCGTGGTGAGCCGCACAGGAGAAGGGCCACGCGCCGTCCGCCACCTTGGCTGGGAAGTCCCCTTGCTGGTTGAACTGCTCGTGCTGTGCGGGGAAGGAGGGGTGGAGGGGAAGGCGTGAGGGGAGGAGGAGAGGAGAGAGAGCAAGCGTGGGCCTCACGAGAGAGAAGGGCCTCACGAGAGAGAAGGGACACACCGCCTCCGTTGCCTTGCCTTGGCAGGGAGTCACCTGTCGATGCCATGCGCGTGCTGGGCGGAGGGATTGTGAGGGAGGAGAACGAGAGGGTGAGCTGGAAGGAGCGGGGGTGGAGAGCAAGGGGGTGTCGCTCGGCTGCTTCACAGGAGAGAGGTGGAGAGCAGGCGTGGGCCCCACAGGAGAAGGGCCACGCTCCCTCCGCCACCTTGGCTGGGAGTCACGCTGCCGCTGCATGTGCTGTGCGGGACAAGGAGGGGCGGAGAGAGAGAGAGGGGTGGTTGGGGAGGTAAGGAGGTGGAGAGCAAGCGTGGGCCCCACATGAGAAGAGCCACGCACCCGCCGTCACCTTTGTAGAGAGCCGGCTGCTGATGGCTTGCACATACGCCCCACTCTGCAGAGTTCATTCTGTCGTGGGAGTGTGGAGAGTGGTGGAGAGTCGGTGAAGAGGGGTGGAGAGTGGTGAAGAGTGGTGGAGAGTGGTGGAGAGAGGTGGAGAGTGGTGGAGAGTGGACAATGGACAAGGAATACCTGTTGTGCAAGTTGCACAGGACAGGGGTTGGCGGCGCACGAGAGGGACCGATCGAAGAAGCAACGGGTCAAGGGAGGGGCGCAGGGAGACGGACAAGAGATGGAGGGGGGGAATAGAGAGGAGGAGAGTGATAGAAGGGGAGTGAAGGGAAGTGGGGGGGGAGGGAGAGAGGGGCGAGAGGAAGCGTGGAAAGGTGAGGAGAGTTGTGGTGAAGGGCAGAGAGGCGTAAGGGACCAAACGATGGCTTCTAGTTCGGCCCGTTCAGGCGTCGCTCACACCACTGCTTTCACAGTCGACGTGGAGGCACGGAAAGGGCAACGGCAGGGGCAGGGGCAGGGGCAGGGGCAGGGGCAGGGGCAGGGGCAGGGGCAGGGGCAGGGGCAGAGGCAGGGGCAAGGGCAGGGGCAGGGGCAGAGGCAGGGGCAGGGGCAGAGGCAGAGGCAGGGGCAGAGGCAGGGGCAGGGGCAGAGGCAGAGGCAGGGACAACAGAAACAACAGGGGCAGGAACACGGGCAACGCCAAGGGGAAGAGCGAGCGCAGGGGCAAGGATAGGAGCATGACTCGGAAAAGGGCAGGAGCATCTTACCCGCAGCACGTACTCCTCTGCACCGCTCTCCACCTCCACGGGGGTGATTTCGCGCAGCAGCTCCAGCGACAGCTTCGCCTCTCGCCCCTGCGCTGGTAACCAGAATCGCCAGTGCCCGTACCGCGTCGCCAGCTGCGGCTGGTAGCGCCGCCAGTGCTCCTCGGGGGTGAGCACCCGCCCTCCAGTCCTAACGTTTATCGTGCGGTTATCCTCGGTGCGGTTATACTCGGTGCGGTTATACTCGGTGCGGTTATACTCGGTGCGGTTATCCTCGGTGCGGTTATCCTCGGTGCGGTTATCCTCGGTGCGGTTATCCTCGGTGCGATTATCGTCAGCCCCTCTGAAAGGCTTATCACGCCCCTCTGCCCGCCCCATGATGGGCGAGTCGACTTCCGCGTGGCCGTCCTGATGCTCGTTCCCATCCCCGTTGTTCTTGGTAGCTCCGGGCTCGCGCCGCACAGCGGCGTTCGCAATATGCATCGCGCCGCCGCCGCCGCTCAGAGCTCTCCGCCGTGAAGCGCGGCGAGGAAGACGAAGCGGCCGAGTACCCGTAAAAAGGGCCGGCGCTGACGTGCAGCGGATCCCGCGATTCGCTGAAGAAACGGCGGCCGAATTGAATCCGTGAGGCGCGGAACGGCCCTCAATGCACTGGAAATGCTCGAGAGAGAAGGCGCGGTTCGCAACGGATACGATCCCGGAAGGGGAAGGCAGGGCGAGGATGAGGCTCATGACTGGAACGAGATACGCCGAGCTTGGGAATGGAAATAGGTCTCTCGTGGTAGGAGGCAGAGACACAAATTCGTCGATGAAATCCCATCGCGTTCACGTGGCTCGCGACGACGGAAGTCGGTATTCTGGCGAGGCGCATACCCGCGCGGCTCGGCTGCAAAAGGTCGTGCGGGCTGGGGGAGACTGTCGCGACGCGCGACATTGCATGTGAGTGATAGGCGTGGTCGGACTATCCTAAGGACGGAGAGAGCGAGAAAGAACAGCGATATCTCTACGGCCCTTCCAACGCTGGCGAGAGCAATGGGATGGAAACTCCGAAAGTACGTACGCGCTAAGAGAATTTTCACAGTGAGGAAAGAAAGAGAGCACACGTTATAAAATTTGTACTTAGATTTTTTCGCAAGCCATTTGGAATCTCGAGGGAGCTTTCACATCACACCCGTTCAAGGATTGCAACTTGCAAGTTACCCACCCTACCTCACTGCCTCCCCCACCCCCAGCCAAACCCCTCCGATGTTGCAAATTGGGGGGGAATTGAAATTGGCGAAGGTAGGTGGTGTAGGCAGAGATCTGTTCGCAAATTGTTGCATGAATCCAAACATTTGACCTGCCACAAGTCCTACGAGTTGCACACCAGCCTGCATCATGCGCACCACGCGTAGTAAGCCTTGTTCTCCAGGGCCTGTGGGGCCACTCTCTGCGAATGTCGCAGCAGCTCGAATTCTCCTTCTCGCGGCCCTCGCGCTCGCAGCCGCCGGATACTCCGAGTCCGTTCCCAGCGCCAACCGCGCGGCACTGCCGCCGCGCCAAGCGGCCTGGCGTCACCCGTCTCGCCTGCCTCGACTCCGAGTCAATCGCGCCGGACGCTCGTTAAAGCTCGCCGGCGCCAGCGCCCCTAGTATGGTCGGGTCCAAGAGTGCCGTGGCAAGGCCTGTTGTTCTCGAAGATTCGCAATGTGAGTCGGCTGCCTCCCAGCGAGCTTGCTTCGCGGCCCGCATCCTCCCATCGATGGCAAAATTCAAATCGAAAAAAAACAATGTTCAGAGAATGCCCCATGAATGCTAAGTACTATACATTGTTCATGGTTTATCAGGAGGAATCCTCTAACGGCGAGGAATGCCTAGGGTTCCTCCGAGAAAGATTTCCGTCTAGAGGAATCCTCTAACGGTGAGGACTTCCTAAGGATTCCCGTCGCAGGCTCGGGAAGGACTGTTCGACAAAGCACTAGGAATCTTCGTGCGTGATCGCGGCGCATTTAAAGCACCGTCTATGCCACTGTCCCTAAGCGGTCCCGTTATGCGGACATCTCGTCACCGCTGCCTATGGGGTACGTATGCACCATCACCAAAATGTTTCTGACCCAAACCTGACCCGGAAACCGGATTGACCCCAGCCTGGCCCAAAATTGCCCCGAAAGTGACTTTTGGGACACTTTAGGGTTAGTGGTCAGTTGGGAGATAGTTTGGGGTCAGTGAGTTTTCTGGCCCGTACCTGACCCGAACGTGTCCCAAAAGCCGAAAGGACCATGGGGTTCTTGTTGGAGTGGTTCGCGGAACCACACTCAAGAAAAGGTGGAAATTCGGACCGACGGCGACGTCATCTCCAAAATCCCAGCTCCCAAAACCGTCCCAAAACCATACCGCGGGAGACTTTTGGGATACATTTCACTCCCATCCCAGAAGTGAATTTCGGGAACAACTAAGGGACAGTTCACAGAGACCCAAATCTGTCTTGCAAGACTCTTTGGCAGGGTCTCGAAAGTGTTTCGCGCGACCGATCTAAACATATATGGGACATTTGGACACACACGTGTGAGGTTAGATTTCTATTGGTTCTGGTTCTTGTGCACATACACGGTGGCTTTAAGTCCCTATTTACAATTTACTCGCTACAAGCATTTTTTGTAGCAGATCATATTCAACAATACTGTACACATAATGTATGGTATTAAGTCCACAGCATAAATAAAACACATTGACATCCGAAGTCTAAAGAGGTTCCAGAATATAATGGCAGCTTTATTAACAGACTCTAGAGTGTAGCACCTTCAATAAACACACAGCGGATCCTGCAATTGGCACTTCAAATAATTAGCCATAGGAACACGGAAAATTACAAAAAAAATCCGATCTCGTTAGAACAAACGACAGTGAATGTACTAACAGTATAGCTGGTTGCGGCATTTCAATCCTGCATCATAAAAAACACACATCGTCCAAAAGTTTAATCGTTTAGCTGCACAAAAAAAAAAAAAAAAAAAAAAAAAAAAAAAAAAACTCTAGAGGTTTCCTCGTTAGTTAAGATATCAATGTAACATGTCCAGGGGCCGCCTTGAAAAAGCTTGGTGACAAGAAAGCACAGTGGATTAAAAATTTCATGGAAAATGTTGACATACCTTGATTGCCATCCTTTCATCAATCTGACCGCCACATCAAACTCCCTCACCTCGCCGTCGCCTCCGCCGAACCCCCCGAAATCTGCGCTGCTTCCGTCGCCAGTGGAGCCGCGATCGCCCACATGCAGCATCATCCGCCCACGGTAGACGTTTGCAACCCGAACCAGTCGCGGCATGCAGCTCCGTAAAGCTGACCTCGCGACGTGGGGTAAAGAGGGGAACGGCAGGGCCTGCACGGGGCGATGGGGGGAACGGAGGAGCGGGTAGCATGAAAACGAGATGTTATTAGATCGAGGGCGAATATAATTCTAATAGCGGGGCAGCAGATGCCTAATAGCCATTCTAAGCAGTGGGCAAGATCGAGGGCGAATATAATTAGAAGTGTAAGAGTTATCTGAAAGCTAAGAACAATGGCAGATACAAAAGTGGTACACGTATATAACAGAATGGGCAATGACAGAGTCTGAACGTTAAATGCTCTCAGTTCGGCAGCATGGCTGGGTAAGGATGTGGTTTGGTTGGGTTCGTTTTGAATTTGAAGCGGTAATATGGTGTAGGTTGAAATCAAGAAGTTGTTGGCACAGGTGGTTGACGCGTTTAGTTGTGTGGTGTGGAATGTTAGCTCAAGCTGATATTCCGTGAGGACGTGTGCTATTTCAGCGCAGGTGGCAGGTGAAAAATGTTGTGTGCATGACAGGTGGCGCGAAGGTTATCTGCCTCCCAGGTGACGCTGAGTTGGCGTCATTTGTGAGGCACATGAATTTCGCCTCCCCTTCCCCCTCGATCGATTGTTGGGGGTGGGGGAAGGGGGGGACTTGTGAAATTAGCGAGAATTTCGCCTCCCATCCCCCCTCGATCGATTGTTTGTGAAGGGGGGGGGGGGGGGGGGAGGGGAGGGGAAGGGGGGACTAACGAAATTAGCGAGAATTTCGCCTCCCTTCCCCCCTCGATCGATTGTTTGGGAGAAGGGGGAGGGGCGGGGGGCACGCACGGGTGAAGGGGGGGGGGGGGGGGGGGGGGGGGGGGGGGGGGGGTGGGGGGGAAGGGGACTAACGAGATTTGGCGATAATTTCGAGACTGACGAGAGTTTTCGAAATTGGCGACAGGTTTTGGTTCCTGTAATTCGATAATGTATTTGATATAAACGAATTCAACAAACTCCCTAGGGGTATTGCACGTAAATTGCAGTAAATGCGAATGAATTTCGAAGATATTTTCGATAATGTTACGATAATTCTACTGTTGTTAGAATCACTAGCTAGGGAACGAGAAAAGGTGATGGTTAGGTGAAGATTGGGGTACAAGACTAGAGTGTCGAGACTATTTGTGTACCCCCTAAGGCTAGCCCCAATATAGCCTAGATACAATTATGCATATGTTTTGACACACCCCCATAGGCGAAATGGGGGATAGCCAGAGCAAGTAGTGGTCACAAGACCAGTCAGGAAGGGCAAAGCAAGCTCAGGGTGGATCTCGAGGAAACCACACAAATTCCGAGCACAAGCAAGTGGTCACAAGACCAGTTCACATGCAGTTTAATAATATAGCAAGGGGTACAGTGAGCACAACCTAGCAAGTGTAAGTATGCAGGTATATATATAGGGATCACAGTACAAACAGAGTCAAGAAGTAAGCAAGTGAGGCACAGTAGGCACAAGGCCTAGAACAGCACAGAAGCGCTGATGATCACAAGGCTGAAGCGCCTTGGTGAACACGTCAGCAGTGTTGGCCCGAGTGGCCACGTAACGCAGACGAAGCTGACCACGCTGCTGCAGCTCTCGAGCAAGGAAGTACCGTAGAGCGATATGCTTCGTTTTGTGCTCCAGTCTGTGCTCCTCACACAAGGCAATGGTAGCCTTGTTGTCGACGTACAGCACTGGAGGAGAACGAGGCCGCTCTCCCAAGTCGGTCAGCAGGTAGGTGAGCCAGCGTAACTCCTGTGCAGCCATGGCTGTGGCGTAGATCTCAGCCTCACAACTGGAGCTGAGAACGGAAGACGAGCGTGTAGAACGCCAAGAAACAGAACCAGAGCCAAGGCTGAAGGTGTAACCCTGAGACGACCGCTGAGTAGCCTGGTCGTCAGCCCAAGAAGCGTCTGAGTGCCCAGTGAGTACAACTCGGTCTCGTCCTCCAAGCACTAGCCCCATGCCCGACGTACTGCACAAGTAACGCAACACCCTCTTAGCGGCATCCATGTGCTCCTTCCGGTGACGACCAGGAGCGACATAGCGTGCAAGGATGCTAAGAGGGTATGCAAGGTCAGGTCGAGTGCAGGTCATCAGGTACATGAGGCAGCCCACAAGCTCTGGATACGGGCCACTCGGCTCTACGGACTCATCCGAAGGCAGAGCTGAGA